GCCTGTTTGCACGTATTAAAATTGTAAGGTTTATTTTCGAGGGATATTTATGTCTTTATTTCGAGATATTTTGCTCTTTTTGCTCAATAGCTATTTGACCACGGAGATTGAATATTGTCTCGTGATTTATAAGCGTGAATTAGTCTTCGGAATTTAACGACCAAAGGCTATTTCAATACAAGTTTACAACACATTTACACCCCCAGTAATTTTTTATAAGTAGCCATATGTTTCATTTCATTTATTGGTTCAACAGGGGCCTCTATCTTCAATTTTCGATATACAAGATGATTTAGAATAGGTATACCTACCAGTAAGAGTAAAATTTAAAAACAAAGCCACAAAATATAAAAACAAAAGTGAAAGTTTCATTTTGATGAATAATAATATCCAGTTAATCAACTGAGAAAATCCATTTACGAAATAATTCCGTATTCTTATATCTACAGTCAATTGCTTCATTTACAGCAGAAAATCATCAATTATAAGGCAGCATTAACTTCATGTCTTGCGGCAAGATTGTCAACTAAGATATGAAACATTTCATTTTATGCCAATTTTGAAGGAAAACAAGATATTAATGAGCTACGTTAGATTCAAGCTGCAAGTTGGTAGGTACATAGGTATTATAGGTACTACTTGTCCTTTAGCGAAAAATCGAAATTAAAGGCACAATATGAATTAGCTATTGTACTTTTCTATCACTCATATACAGGATGCGCCAGAACTCGCGCCCCAGAGAAAAATTTCAAGTAAGATAAAATACCAGGAACACGGAAAAAATTCTATCTGTCAAAAAATTGTGACATTTATTTTTTGACATTTGACATTTTTTCATATCTATTTAATGATACTGATGATCCTGTGTATGATTTTTTACAATTATTTAGTGAAGGTACAAAAACATTGAACTTCAGAGTCACAATTTAGAATATAGCTTCCCTGTGTCCTCTTATAATAGCATGTAGCAAAAAAAAACTTGAAAAATTATGTTAGCAACAGAATTAAATAGAGTCAAAATGCAAAATTTAAACTCTCATAACTTTGAAATTTTTTGAGATAAAATTTTTTTAACATTTTTCCCATGTTCCCGGTATCTTACTTTATATGGCATTTTTTCTCTGGGGAGCGAGTTCTGGCGCACCCTAAATATTTTGGAAAGATGCTTTAAAAAAAAACAAAATTTGATTATAAACAAATTAATGACTTTTAATCTAATTACTTGCAGTTTCCATTTATTATGCATGAGAATGACTGTTTAACTACGATAAATCTGACAACGATTTTCAAAATGAAAATCTGTTTATACCTACAGGAAACTTTTAAAGGAAATTACCCAACAAGCGTTAAGGTTATCAATTCTTTCTGGGTTCAAAGGAAACAAACATTTAAGGGTATATTAATCAAATTATTACTTAAATCTCTGTTTTAATTATAGAACCGATTATGTTACTGATCAGTGAAATAGATAACTCTCCAATTTAAGTACATAGTTTATTATGATTTCATATTGACTTGTTATACCACTTGATTAAAAACTTAAAAAGCTTAGGTATAGGTTGTATGTACATACGTGTTCACTTTATTTTTACACATGCTATTCTTTAAATCAGTTTTAACGTGTTTTGTTTCATTTATATTTTGGTTATTATTATTATTATTATTATAAAATTATTAAAAATATAGAGTTATTAACGTCATAAAACCAATATGTATAGCAAGTAACAGACAAAGATTGAAGTTTGTAAAATCTAGTCACAACCTCATGCAGTCGCATGTTATTGGAGTATAAGCTGTAAATTTTTGACAAAACTAGTCAAAATCATAACGTCGAATAATGTCAACCTTTCGAATGTGCTTTTCGTATAGCAACATGCGTGACAACGTATGTACGTTAAAGCTTTTTAACGGTCTAGGCTGTTATCGTTGCTATCACCAAAAAAATTACCAAGAAATGTTGAACCTACACGAACACAACATTTTGAAGAGGTGCAATGCAACAATAATGTACAAATTTTAAAAATGTTTAACGAAAAAATGTGACTAATTGTCAATAATAATATTGACACATTGTAAATTTGAACGTTAATTAAATCCCTGTGTAGTGAATAATGATACCCAATCATCTAGCAGCCGATTGTTTTTCATTCCTGTGCAAAATTTTAATTAAAAGTTGTTGGAGCCATTGACAAGTTAATTAAATTCACGGTATATTCATACACAAACACCGCACTTAGTCCTCGGTTTGTTCTGGCCCAGGAACCATGGCTAATTTAGCGTCTACAATTTCAAGCTTTGCGGCTTAGAAAATCCCCTTTGAACTCGACAAGTTTGATTTATGATTTCCAACATATACTCTCACTTTACGTTAGTTTTAATTTTGTTCACGAGATGAAAAGATTAGTACTTACCTCTTTACCTATTCGAACAAAATAATATCATCTAAAGCCTGTGGTAATAAAAGTAGTTTAAATTTGAAAATAATAGACCGTAACTGGTGAGAAAACATAAAGTGTCGAAAAAAAAGCACTTAAACTAACATATATTACAAATATAAATGGTTTCTTATCTCACGTGTAAAGGGAGGTTTCCGGAAACGCCCACGTGTCCGTGAAATCCCACACATGACTGAAACATAAGATGTTAGAGGGTCAAAATGTCAATTATTGTGATGGTTGAGTATGTGGGTAAGGGGCTGTTCGAGAATTTTTCGAAACCCCTTAGATATCTATTCTAGTGAATGCTAAAGGTGGGACTGGAAGCATTCTTGGGGTCGTAACCTTTCTTACAGTCTCGCAAATTGGTGTAGATAACATTCCAAACATTCCAGCGTATGCCTAAACAACGTACTCGTAGATTGGAAACAATTCATTAACTGATTAGATACAATAAGCTTCCGCCAACACATTTCTTTCTTTTTTCATTAGAAAATAAAATTGCTGCATGATTATTTTATTAGTTTTTGTATTACAATTTGTTGCACCAAAATTTGATTTATATGTAGGTTTTCTTTGGCAAAAAACAAAAAATATATGTATCACATAAATTGTAGTATATTATTACATTTATTCAATTAAATTGTAAAATAATAACTGTACCTCAGAGCCAAACTATGGCAAGTCCAAAATCTTAATTTTACAGGAGAGCAGTTTAAAGATTTGAAACGATCCAGTTTTATGACTTGGCATATATATCTCATTTTCCTAAATTTTGGGCTTGCCATAGTTTGGCTCTGGAAAGTTGGAAAGAAAATTTTCAAATTCCCATTAGGTAGTAGGTACAGGTATTTTTTAATAAATAAAATTTTTGCTGTATCTTTATTTCTTCCTGTGAAGTAGGTATTTAATGTTCTCTCTGCCAGTAATTTTTATGTTTGTCTTGTCATCATCTCCATTTAAATACCCAAAGCAGTTTTTTATTTCATTACGACAATCGATTGATCGGTGTTTTTTCAAACTGAACATAAGGCTTAAAGTTAAAAAAAATGTCCCTATGTATGTAGATATGGAAAATAAAAGTAAAAAACAACTTTTTTGTAGATAATAATGGAAAAGACAGGAAAATTGGTTGTTTGCATGTCCAAAAATTGTTTTCGAAAATAATACAATTTTACAGTTTTGCTGAAGGTTAGTACTAATAAGCAAATTGATAAAGTATTCAATTAGAAGAAATATCAAACCATACTTAAACAATTCCTTAGTATTTAAATCACAAAAATCTACCTACTTCTCTTATGGTTTAAACTGTAGAAGTATTGAAAATATAGCTTTTTTTTAAATTACTCGTATTACTCACGGCTAATTTTCATTTTTATTTTACCAATTTACTCATTACTCAATATGAATCTTTAGGATTTCTACTTAAAATATAATAAGAGTTTGATTGTCAATAAAAATGTTTCATAAAAATGTGTACCTAAATCTGGACACTTGTATGCAAGAATAACTTATGATCATGCAAAGCGTAAGCTGATCAATGATTAGAGGTGGTTTAATTGATATTATTCATCTGGTCTAGAAAGAATTATGTTGATTATGTTGTATATGTTGATATATTTTAGGCTGGATTTTAGGTGAATTTGTAACAACAATAATTAGAATAAAATTAGAAAAAAATCATTGGCGAATCCTGTATACAATACCTATTACCTTAGTTTTTGAAAATTCGTTTTTGATTTTTTTGGAAATTCAATGGTAACAAGAATTGTAAGTTAAAAATTTATTCTATCTTTATTGAAACCAATTATGCGATAAATATTTTCTTTTCATATTTCATTTGTGTATGTACTTTTACTTAATTGTATATTTATTATCAAAGTTGATTCATAAAAAATATGTTTTTAGTCACAGTTTTATTGACTTTTCACAGAGTACAAATCAGTTAATATTATTAAGATTTATTGTAATCTGCCTAAACACCACTTTATTCAGTTGTTAAACAAATCTTAATAAATAGAAAACCAAGTATAATAAGCAATGATACTTTACTCGAAACCCTTATTTTTTTTTCAAAAGTCATATACTTCCTTTCTTAGAATGCTTTAGGTGAATATGTATGTACATATATTAAATTTTGGCAGAAAGGAAATTAAAAAAATGGCACTCGACCAGACGAGCAAAAAACTGTTTGTGAAGGTGCCATTTAAACATCTGTTGAAAGCTTTAATTTCTTTATTTTTGCAGCACAATTCTGTACTTCTATACCTAAACAAATTAAAAAATACCAACATTTATCTTTGTAATTGGCAATACTGTATAATGAAAAACAGCGTAAAATAAGAGCTAATTCGACACACAACCTGGCAATTACAGAACTGTCTATGTGTCGGTGTAACTTGAGCCACCACCGAAAAGCGGCCTCCGCGAACCCCGTCGGAACCACTCCACGTTTCTTTGAAACCGACTACTCTAATTTTACTGTCGTATTTTTTCCTCTCATTCCTACAAATGGATTCATGTTCCCGCCACTAATTAGTGACACGTGCAATTCTTCTCTTTCAGAAGGCCAAGTCCAGCAGTACGGAGAAGTCAACCAACTGGGTGGCGTCTTCGTCAACGGACGTCCTCTTCCCAACTCCGTACGTCTTAGAATCGTCGAACTCTCACAAGTTGGAATTCGTCCATGCGATATCTCGCGGCAACTACGCGTCTCACACGGCTGTGTCTCAAAAATCCTCGCCAGGTAAGGAAAGAAATATTTCGCAGAAAAGCGAATTTCGATGTAGGGAAAAATGTGTTGAAGTCGTACAAGAAAAAGAAAAACCAGTTTATTGATGCAATTTGTGGCAAATTATGAAATAATTTAATAAATCATATTTGTTTCTTATATTTTCTCAACAACCCTAAAAAAAAATTATCAGAAACTGAAATTTGCAATAACATTTTTTTTCCTGTAACATAGCACAATTTTTATTTGAGTATCCATTAACTGCTGTGTAAATTTATTGTTGTCCTCCTACCCCAGGTACCACGAAACCGGCTCCATCCTCCCCGGCGCCATCGGCGGCTCCAAACCCCGCGTCACGACCCCCAAAGTGGTGGCCTACATCAAAGACCTCAAACAAAAAGACCCCGGGATCTTCGCCTGGGAGATCCGCGACCGCCTCCTCTCTGACGGAATATGCGACAAGTACAACGTCCCCTCCGTGAGCTCCATCAGCCGGATCCTCCGGAACAAAATCGGATCCCTGGTCCACACGGCGCCTCATTCGCACTCCCTCTACAACGCCATCTACCCCAGCTACCCCTACCCGCAACAAAAGCTGCAAACGCCGCCCCCTCAACGCCACGCCACCGCTCCCTGCTGGCCTAGTTCGCACTCAGTGTCGGATATTTTGGCGGGAGTGCACGCGGCGGCCTTCCGGACGCCCCACGGCGCGCCCGGAGGAGTCCCCGGAGGCGCGCCGGCACCAGACAGTGCACAAAACTACAACTATTACATGTATCTGCAAAGCGGCAACACTGCCATGCATATGGTCAATCCGGGGATTAACTCGCATCCCTTGACGGCGCCGGGGACGCATCTCTGATCTGTGAGTTTGTTATAGGTATAACAAGACGATATGCTTGTGTTTTGTATGCTTGTGAAGCTTTAAAATGTATAATGTTAAGAACATGAAACATGTTTGTACATAAATAATTTTAAGATGCTTAAACAGTGCCTTTTGGTGCGTGTTGTTATTCGAATTAAATTTGACACCAGTACTGTTTCTTGAACAACGTTATTGTGTAAGTAGGTGCGTTATTTATTATTAATAGTAATTTATTTGAAATTATCGCAATTATTGTTTCGTTTTTGTTTCATACACAACATTATTACACGAATAAAATTGTGTTTTTGCAAGAATTGGGTTATTTTGTAAATATTTTTTCATGTAACATGAAAAGTGTATTACTGATGCTTGAAATATATTATTTCCCGAAATATGGCTTTCATTTGAGCACACCTGTACCCACAGGTAAGTATTAATGTAAAAAAAATATTCAGAATTAAAAAAAAATACAATCAAAAAGACAAAATTTATACCGACTGATGGTATTTATTAGATATATTTTACTTATTATTTTTGCCTATATCTTTTTTATTTAAATTTGGCGTCATGGCTGGCGGTGATATGACTGGTATGAGTGTGTTGTGAACGGACCACAATTTTTAATACGCCCGACGAGGTGTCAAATGTCAGATTAATATCTCAATCAATACGATGGTTCGTTCACAATCGAACTTTCATAGATAGCTTTGACGCCAAATTAAAAAAAAAAACATCATAATAAGTTGTACAAGATTTGACATTCATATATTTTTTTGCCTATAACATATACATACATATACTTACATATGTAAGTACGAAGAGATATATTACAAACAAACAAGCAAATGTTATACTTATTTTTTAATTCACATTTAGTAAATTGATATAATTTTCAAACCCTTATATTAAAATGTATGTATTTTTTTATATATCTACCTATCTACAAGTATGTAGGTGCAATCGAGAAGAAAATCAGTCGCACGTTTCGAAACGGCGCGAGTTTGTATTGAAGGAAAGATTAGTTTTATTGTTTTTAGTTATCAAAACAAAAGATTAGTTCAAATCATAATTTCAATGATTCGTAGTAAAAACTAAACTTAGTTTGAAACAATTTACAGATTGAATAAAAGCCCAGATAGTTTGACAATTAAAGTTTTTCAATTATTTAGTATACAATATGTCCTCGGATTGAGTTTACGAGAGAAAAAAAGTTTTATCTTTGATTTTACGCCAAAACTGCAAAGAAAAAACATTTTTTGCTTTATCTGAAACCAGAAAATCTGTAATTAAAACTTCATTATTCTAACTCAGTAGAAAGAAAAATTAGTTTTTTTCTGCTTTTTAAGTCCTATCACATTGGCGGTTTTATTATTTTGACAATCATGTCACTTTGACAAATGAGTTTACACAAGTTAAATATAACAAAAATGTTTGTGAAAAACATAATTTTAATAAATGGCAACTCAAAAAAACAGCTTTATAGGATAAGAAACAAAGTCATTTTTAACAAGAACCATCATTATTCAATTAATAAATTAATTGTCAAAGTGTCATAATATAGTTGTCAAATAAATAAAACCGCCAATGTGATAGGACTAAAAGGCAGAGAAAAATCATTCTATAAATCGAAAATCAAGAGAAAAATTTACTTTTTTTTCACTGAATCAGAATAATGAAGTTTAAGTACAGATTTGCTCAATTCAGGTGAAGCAAAAAATGATTTTCCTTTGCAGTTTTGGCGTAAAATCAAATCAAAATGTTTTCCTTTTGTAAACCCAATCCGAGGACATACTGTAGATATTTCCAGCCACTGATCAAATTATAGAGACGTAGGTACATACATTGAAAGTAAAAGCAGTATAAAATTGTTAAAAATTTTGCTAATTGCTTTGGATGGTTTTAAGGTCTCATTTAATCTCATATTAATAGCAAATAAAGTATTTTTTGTTTCACCGTTTTGAAGATACATATTAAAGTTTGTATGGAGCGTTTCGATTCATGTGGGTGTTGGTGACAGTAGTAAATGACCAGTGGGAAATGAAATGAAGTGTCCTGATGATCGCTGTTACACGGATGCTAGGGGCCCTAACTAGCCATGTCTCAGTTGTGTATGATACGCCCATTTCCGTTCGTCCGTCACGTGTTCCTTACTTATTAATGCCAAACTGTGCTTTCCCTAGCATTTAATTTATAACGGAAAAAGCGTTTTTAATATTCAAGCCCACTTCTAATTGCTACGGAAATAATTATCTATTTTTATGTAACGAATAAATCGTGCCAATTCAAAAATAAGCAAACGACTCATAGTCCAACTAATTTGATTCATTATTATACTTTCTAATTTACGAAATAGTGCCTACAGTTCTCTGCTGACGATTTTAGGTGAAAAGCAAGTCTTGGCAAGTGTGAGGGCTAATTCAAGTCGCGTAATTCCTAAAGCTCATATGTCAATCCTCGGTCTTGTTAGTCTTTTTTCCCCGCCGGTCAGAGAGTGTGACCGACGGTGGTGACAGAACTGTTTGAAGTTGTGTGTACGAGTCTGGCACGTGCATGCATCCAGCCGATAAATCCCAGCCAAGCATGGGACCGTCATGGGACGCTTGACCTGATCATCAAGGCGGACATGGATCACAACACCGATCAACCCCTTAATCACGTCTAACCTTTCAATCAATCAAAATTTTTAATTTTTATGAACAGAAAAAATTAAATGTTCCATTAAAATACAAACTGAGAGTCAATTTCAATCATTCATTCACTCTAATGTACAGTCGAACAAAATGAAAATGACGCCACAATAAACCAACCCCTGCTGGATGCCGACCCTTCTAACCGTAAGCAGGCAGGATCGTAAATTATCTCTAGGAGCCGGTTTACAGAAAGCGAAATAAAAATTTAATTCAGAATTAAACTAATTCGTATTGAGTTGCCATTTATTTTGCATTGACATTTTTTTGAAGAAAATTATGCATTAATAATGACATTGATGAAAAAACAAATCATTATTAACTTAATAATTTTTTTTAACTGTTTTTTTTTAAATAAAATTAATTTTTGGTACACGCTCCGCAAAATGATACTTTAGCGAACTCATTTGAGTCCGCAAAATGCTATTTTAGCGGCCTAGTACTTTTTGTCCATTTTAGCGGACTGAAAGGTAACTTAGCAACACATTAGAAACATGATTTTATTGCAAAATTAACAATAAATTTACATTGAGAAATGGAAACGAAAATTACAGTTTTTGGCATTTTTAAAACTATTTTCAGAAAAAGAAAGACCTTTTTCAGTTAGGTTTTTCAGATTTGAAGTGATGGATTTGTTTGAAGATTCTACTGACGTCGATGTTGATGCAACCACGTTAACAGAATTCGCCACAGATGAAATTGATGCACCTGATTCTTTTTGTCCCATGATCAAAGCTGCCACTTTCTTCACTGCAGGATGCAAACACCGTAGTGCATACCTTTTCGTCCAGATAGGCCAACATCACATCTTCATTCACGAGAGTCACGCCATTTGCCTGCTTCCAATCACGAAACGAAGCATAATGTTTTTCATACTGGGCTTTAGACTTCGCCGAAGCAAATCCGAAACAATTATTTTTGCTTTTTCGGAAATGAACGCCCAAACTTCACACATTTTCAACACAACCGTTTTTTCGATAAACAACTGGTTGCCATAATAACGTCATGACACCTACTACGCTTTCACACAGTTTCCACATTTCACGATTCAGAATTCAAATAATTCACATTTTCAGAAGATATTTTGCAGAGCTGGTACCAAAAAATTATGTATGCACCACGTACGCAAAATGTTTTAGGGGACTCACGATTCGTCCCCTAAAACAACTTTTTGCGTACTTGATACATAAAATACTATAACATAATTTTTGAACGAAATAGGCTCTCTCTATTTTAAACGTGATTTTATGTAAAACAACAAATGAATTAAACCATCATTGATTATTTTCGAGAAGAAGGTTTAATTCCACGTGTGCCTTTACCACGAGTGGTGGTGTAATTCTTTAAGCAGAAAGCGAAATTAAAGTTTACTTCATAATTAAACTAATTCGAATTAAGTTGCCATTTATTTTGCATTGACAAACGTCAAGCTTAAAATTTAATTGTGATTAACACGTTCTGTAAACCGGCCCTAAGTTTTCTATTAAGTAGTTTTGGAATTGTCATTGAAAAAAGCAAAATTATTTATTTAATTAAAGCAAGAAAAAAAACGGCAAAATTATTTCAAATATTTTAGTTATGCTACAAAATTTATTATTTAATAATTGTAACACTTTTAAATTACATAAAAATGTTTAGTTTTATAAACAAACAATTTAACAAAAACCATTTGTTAAAGAAAAATATGCATTAATAAGATGAAATTTACAACAAAACAAATTATTATTAATGTAATAATTTTTTTTGATAAACTGTATTTCAAAATTAAATTAAATAACATAATTTTTGTACGAAATAGGCTTTCTCTATTTTAAACTTGATTTTATGTAAAACAATAATGATATATTCTCCTCTTGAGTAACAGAAGATCAAATAAATATCCGAAAATTAATTTTCAAGACATAATTGCATCGGTACTTACCTACTATTTCATGCTTTTCCCGCAAACCATCTGTTTTTTAGAAAGTACAAAGACATTGAGATAAAAGATATCTCCCTAGTTTTATATTATAGGAACATTTCTATGTGTAATTACATAATTATCTGGAAATTACTACTTATTAATATGTTTGGGCACAATGACATAAATAAACCGGCGCCATAAATCTTTCAGAAACATTTTATTTTTATTGCACAGTTATAAATTTTAACTCGGTATTTTTAACATAAAACAAACTTTTCCAACTTAATTAAAAAACTACAAAAGATATTTCTGCATGCTTATGTAGGTAGGAAAGCGATTTTATATAAAAACAGCAGTTCTCGTTCTTTTTTATACAGGTAGGTATACAAGGTGGTTCTTTTAGGGCCTACATTATAAACTTTTTAATTTCTAATGCAGATAGGAATTTGGAATTTTTTACACAACTCAAATCAACCAGTCTGAGTTCAACTAAATTATTTTCAAAATGGCTGAACTTCCCGAACTACGAGAAATTGGCGGCAACTTTCAAATTTTAAATGGTACTCACTTATTTTTATTTCATTTTTGAATTCTCCTCTTTAAACTAAGGAAAATGTACCTAGTTGTTAGTACTTATCTGTCATAGTTTTTGACATATGTCAATTTTTTGGACAAAATTTTCACTTGCAGGGGTTCATTCAAAACATCACAGCTCTTGAACCCTTTGCGATAAGTGAATATTTTTTTTGCATTCGATAACCAAAGGTTCGAAAAGTTTTTTAGAATTTTCAAAA